TGAAGAGGTGAATAGCAAAGCTGCTTATGGAGGCACTTCATTTTCTAAGCCCAAGGGACTTTCTCCCTCTATATCTAAAATAACAAATACACACCCATAGCCGAGAAATTACGCAAGACTGTATCTTACCTATCAGTGTAACAGGTGTGCCGTATTCTAAAGCGGAGATAGCCGTCCATTTCCCTGTGCCTTTCTGCCCGGCGCTGTCTCTGATTTTGGGCAGCAGATGAGTGCCATCCTCATCCTTGAATTTCAGGATATTGGCAGTGATCTCAATGAGGAAAGAGTCCAGCTCTGTCTTATTCCACTGATTGAAGGCCTGATAGGCAAACCAGACAAATAAATTTAGTCTTAAGAGGAAGCAGACCAAAACAGTCCTTCACAAGGAACAGGGTGAGGTGTATTTCAAAATACAAACGAAATAAGGAAGGAGGAAACAGAAAAGAGGCAATACAGAGGGGATTTGAAGAATTACAACATCACGGACTGTTCATCTGCATTACAAAACAATAGTAATTATAGAAGTAAGTTGAAGTCTAACCTGAGCCATTTCATCATGGTCCATACACAGCACATCCTTCATCAGATGGTAGGCCTCACAGATCAGCTGCATGTCACCGTATTCAATACCGTTATGGACCATCTTAACAAAATGTCCAGCTCCTTCATCTCCAACCTAAACAAATATACAAAGATTTTGGAGAAGTGCATTCACAGGCTGTATAAATCTATTGAGAACTAATACTCACCCAGTCGCAGCACGGCTCTCCTGTGCCCATCTTGGCGGCAATGCTCTGAAAAATCTCTTTTATGTGTGGCCTGAAGGTATAAAATAAAAATTAGATTCCATAAATGTCAATAAATGCACACATATGCATAGGTGGACTTGTTTGATACATGCTTGTCCTCACCAGGCATCCTTATGTCCTCCAGGCATCAGTGAGGGTCCATAACGAGCCCCGTCTTCTCCTCCACTCACTCCACTACCCACAAACAGAAGGTTCTTCTCCTTCAGGCTCCTACAGCGTCTCTGTATGTGATGATGAGCATGAACATTTAGATCAAATACTGTTATCACCTCATCATAAGTTTGGATTGTCAAACTCACTGTTGTATCTCTGTACTCTGAATTTCCACCATCGATGATAATGTCACCAGGTTCTAGAAGAGGAACCTACAATATAAAGTGGGTTACTTGATCACTTTGGCTTGGTGACAAAGCAAACTAAGACCGTTGATTCATGGTGACGTTTACCAGTTTATCAATGAAGTCATCGACAGCTTGTCCTGCTTTGACGAGGAGGATGATGCGACGAGGTTTTTTGAGTTTAGACACCATGTCGTCAAGGGACTCGGCCCCGATCACCTTAGTGCCTTTGGCTTCGTTGTTTAAAAAGTCATGGACCTTGGACACTGTCCTGTTGAACGCGCAGACCTGAGAAATGACAGTAGTTATAACATCATAAACCTGATCTGAACCATCAGAACAGGTTAGAATTGCAACTTACCACAAATCCATGGTCATTCATGTTCAGGATCAGATTCTGGCCCATCACAGCCAGACCAATGAGAGCAATATCCGCTCTGTGGAGACACAAATATGGAGATTGGGAGAAAGAACATTCATAATAAATGATTGTAGAGTGCTAGCTTATTGAAATCGGTGGTTATGACAAATGTCATCCAGTCTAGCTGGATAACATAGAAAGGATTTCAATTCTAAATCAGTCTGAACTGAGAAAAAGTGCTTGATAGTAAGCAGAGAGATTACTATAGATAAAATGAATGTTGACAGTGTGCAATAACTTACACTATATTACATTTAATGATAATATAGTCAAATGTGCTGTCAAATTCTATTTCATATTACAAAGCATTTTAAAAGCAAAATGTATACTTACTGAGCCATGGTTGTAGGTTGGTTCCGTCTTAAAATGACACTTTGGATCAGGGTTTTGACTACTACAGCACTGTCTCTACTGAACTTCCTCATTCACGGCCTGAACAACAGCACTACACCAACTCCCAATGAACACGCCTGATAGATTTACAGTGGTCGTGGCGTCATCCGTATCGCCGTCTATGATTGGCGGAGACTCTCTGAGCCGAGATTGGATGCTGTTCATTGGCTGTCTAGTCCCTCCACCCCCCCTCCCCCGTCTGTTCTCCGCCCACTGTGTCAGAAAAAGCTGAGCGCATTTGGTATTGAAGTAAATGGGAAGTGAGATTTTTCTTGATGAACTCTGAGACCGACGATTGATTTTGTAGAGCACCGTTGCACCACTATTGTGATGTGTGTAACGTATGAAATTTCATCAAAGTGATTCATTATTAAATGGATTACTACATTTAGACGTAACGACTATCTTCCGAAATATAAAACTTTGAAAACAAGTTGAATTAAACAGACAATAATTATATATATATATATATATATGGCATGAGTGAGTGTGTAATACTATCTGATAAAAATAGTTATAAGTATTTGACGTAATTATTTCCAAGATAATGTAACTAGCCTATATGCAATAATATAATGTAATTATAATAATAACGTCATTATTTCCAAGATGATCTTTCTTCATATAGAAACTTTATCTCATATGTGACCCTGGGCCACAAAACCAAAAGGGTCCATTTTTTGAATTTGAGATTAATCTGAATAAATAAGCTTTCCATTGATGTATGGTTTGTTAGGATAGGACAATATTAGGCCGAGATACAACTATTTGAAAATCTGGAATATGAGGGTGCAAAAAAATCTAAATATTGAGAAAATCGCCTTTAAAGTTGTCCAAATGAAGTTCTTAGCAATGCATATTACTAATCAAAAAATACATTTTGATTACAGAATATCTTCATGGACAAAATCATTCACTTGTTACATATCTTCATTTGTTACAAACCACCTTCATGGAACAAGATCGTTACGTAATATCGTAATGATTTTGACCCATATAATGTATTGTTGGCTATTGCTACAAATATACCCCTGCTGACTGGTTTTGTGGTCCAGGGTCACATATAGTAAATGTTCTGGTTATTTATGAAGAATTTTTTTCCTTTAATAACAACAACAATCTGTTATCTAATCAGTGGAAAATATAAAGTAAAATATAAAGGTAGGCATAATGTTATTATTTTACAGCACATTATTTTTATATCAAATGTGATATTTTATTTACTCAACTGGTTAGTTTGTTAGATGCTTTTGTCAAAAGGTTCAAATATTTCATAAAATCAACATTTTTTGATATCTCTTAAAAACAAACAAACAAGCTAGCTTTAAGACAAAGTGGCAAAAGACCAAGAAAAATCAAACAAACAAACAAAAAAACACTTTAACAATTACCAGCCAGCCATATCAATTTAGGAAGTCAAATAATGTAATATCATGAGATATAGCTAGCAAAATGTCACTTTAACTAAACAGTAGATAAGACAAAAGCTATAGCCTATGTATAATGCAAAGTGTTGTGTGAAGAGAAAGAAAGAGACGACACAAGATCCGTTGTTCGTCTAATGCACTGGTTGTAATTTTATTTGTACCTCGTTCACTAAACAGGTCAATGGTGCAAGATTACCATACACAGAATTAAGATATATGCATTACACGTCTAGGCTATACAGCGAATGGATTATAATTATTACAAATACAGGAGACATATTTACATTTTAATCCAAGCTCCATACAACATGAAATATTTACAAAATAAGTATGAAAATGAAGCCAATCTGACAAATAATGTACAGTGTTAATGCCACGGCTGAACTGTTTTCTGTCGTTTCATCACAATGAGAGGGAGTGATGCTCATCTGATGGGGCGATACAGTAATGCCAGGGTTGCTTCAGAGGCAGCATGGGGGAAAAAATGCATGAGTGAGCACAAAAACAAAGAGGTAAAGCAAAACAGGTTCTTTTTCTAGAAAATATATTCCCTGATGTTAGAAATCAAAACGAACAGGCCTCATCATAACTCTGCCCTCCATATCTAGACTAAATGTGAAAAAGTGCCCTTGTAACACAGTCAGATTTCTATTTCAAGAAATAAGCACAGCAACATGTCAGTCCCTAATTAAGATATTCGTCTTTCATTCATGCAATTTTAGCGAAACGCAAGGTACATTCAATGAGAAAAACGCCACAACCTAAAACCATTTGTTTTCCATTTGAGAAAAGAACAAAAATGTTCAAGCTTTATTTGTTCTGTTAGTTGTATAAACACGTGCAAAAAGCTGCAAACTAAATATATACATTGCAAAACAATAAATACAGTTAATGAAATTCATTATGAATATCATATTAGTCAACCAAGCCACTCAACAAAGATGGTAAAAAAAAAAAGAAAAAGAAAAGACAAAAACCTTTGCTCTGGCAAACAAATTGTAAGATTAACTCACACTTGTCATGTAATTAGATCAATGCTAACCTTCACTAACCGTTACGCACTCTATGTGCCAGATCTGAATATTACATTTGAACATTTTCACAGATGATGTAATAATCAAACAGCTCAGATGAAGCCTAAAGGCTGGCTGACCTAAGGACTTGACTTTACGAGCCATTTTCATGCGTTTCCTGTGAAAATGCGCTTCAAGAAGAGAAAGTGCAGTGTATGTTGCAGCAAGAATATTGACTTCATAAGGATTGACAGTGTGACAGTCTGGTGGGCAATAATTCCTGCTGGTTGTCTGGCCAGAGGACTGTTATATGCTCAACCAAATGGCTGAAATTTCACCATCAAACTGAATCACTGCTAACTTCAGCATTTGTCTCTTGACTGCATGTCTTCAAATGCACAGAGCAAAGATTTTCAAAACAAAAGCAGAACACTACCATCCCTGCACTGCAGTGAACTGCATAAATGGCCCAATTTCTACTGACAGTGATCAAACTGTTTTAGTGGTCAAACTTGGTCTGTTCAAATAAGTAAAGAAGAACAGCTGAATAAAAATGAGGAGCCTTCCATTGTATAATGTAAAACACTGATCACATGTTAATAAAAATAAGTTAAGATAATCAGTAGAGATACATGATAAATGTTCAATAATATTAAAAAGTGATCCTGCTCATTCTCAAGGGCTGGTTTAATGACCCTGCAGACTTGAGATAATAAACCACATAAATAATTCAATCCTTCATTTCGTTAACTGTAACCTATCAAATCAGTATCTTAAATTGAAGGGTCAATTTCTTTGTTTAGAAAATTAAGCATCTTCAAGAAGTGCTTTGGTCCATTTAAAAATCTTTTTTTTAAGCAATATCTGGAGCAAAGCTATTTGTTTTTGTGTTATAGAGAAAGTTGATTTGTGATAATTAAATACGGAATATTTTAGATATTATTTATATTAACATATATTTTTTTACTCAATGGGGGTTTTTATAGCAAACCAACTTTCTCCTGAGGGTAAGATGTTCCTGGCAGACAACACTGTAAGGATGAAGTTTCCAGACGAGAGTAACTCAAGAGAAAGCAGAACCTGCTCTGAAGATTCGTGCACGCACAAACAGACTATTACAACATGCTACTTGAAGGAGGTTCAGTTATGACAGAGAACAAAACTGAAGACAGAATAAATCCAATCAATAACACAATAGAGAGGGGAGGAGGAGGAGGAGGAGGAGGAAGGGGACAGTTGGGATTTAGGAACTGAAAGTTCATTTGCTAGAGAGGAGAACAGAGCCACAGGTCTACATACAAGAGAAACTGTCAAGAACCACAAAGATTTAGAAGTGTTAACACACTTGGTACGTTGTAAAGGTAGAGCGAGAAGTGAGCACTATCTCTGTGTGTGTGCACGCTCGTTCAGTTCTTCATCAGACTGCACCGTCTCCTCGCCAGCTTTGACCTGTAGGAAAACACAGAAAGAGTGAAAATTTGAAAGGAAACAAACACACAAACAGCAGCCCAAAAAAGTATTTGGATACTTAAGACACAGCCTGAATGTGACTCTTAGAAACAAAACATGAAACCAAGTGGCATCTGTTAACAATAGAAATTTTCTCACAACCAAAATCATTTTTCTCTTTCTCTCGCTCTCTCTCTCTACATATATGTGATTAATTGTTTTATTACTGTTATAATTATAGTAATATAAACTTATACAAATAATTGAATGATTCTTTTATTTTATATTATATAGCTATATTTTAAAGAATGATATTTCTTTAAAATAAATGCCTATATAAATATTTATATAAATTAATTAATAACACAATTAGTGCGTGTATTTGTGTCATTTCAGTATCAATAGCTATTTTAATTAGTTTTGTATTTGATTTATTTTATAGTTTAGTTATTGATTTTATTCTGGTTTTTTTCTTTAGTACAAGTTAAACTACATGAAAATAATTTCATTTTCACCATTTTTAAAATGTTGCCTTCACTAATTAATTTTAAATGGTCCTACAGTACAAGAAATTAATTTAACAGTATAAATATTCTATGTAGTCTCTGGCCTAATATGAGGCCAAATTTGACAAGACTTGCTACAAATTATATATATATATATTGTCAGTTTATTGTAGTTGTAGTGAAACATATTTTATGGTTTTAGTTTTAGTTAACTATAATAACCCTGGTGTGTTTATATATTATATAGTTAAGCATTTGTTTGTGCCACATTCCTGTAAAATAAATGGCACTCAGATTGATATTTAGTTACACAGTGCAATGCCATTACTTTTAGGGACACTAAATGTTTGAATTTTTTTTCTGGAGAGGACCAGAAAAGAAGCCCTTTCAAAGAGGTAGTCAGTTTGGTCCAGACTTGACTAGGTTAATTCTAGATGATCTAGCTTTCTGGGAAAAGTTGGGATGTGTACCTTATTGTTCCTGCTAGCAGTGGGTTAAAGGCATACAGCCAGTCGTTCATGTCTTTGTCATTGTTGGCCTGGAGGAGGATCCCTCTGTGCTTGGTGCACACGGCGAATGTATTAGGTGTCTGCAAGCCATCAAACAGCAACAATCAGGCATTCAACTGACATGTATTACAGGAAAAACAGTGGATTTCCACATAGAGGGTGAGGCTTTACCTTGAGCATGGCCTGCTGGTCTTCACTGTATTCCACCTGGGCAGTGGATAAATTCAGCACTCCCCTCTCTACTGGGTCCTTGTCGTTGTTGTAGATGAACACGTATGGCCGACGAACCACCACAAAGTGCTTCACCCAGGAGTTGGAGCGGGGCTCCATGAAACTGAGGAATCCCTTCTTAGATACCACAGACCTGAGTGAACACAAGAGGACACGTCAGTCCAGCATATTACTGTACAATCTCTGCTGCCCCATTAAAGGAAACTAGGGCTGCAAAACGATCAATCGCGATTAATCGCATTCAAAATAAAAGTTTGTTTACATACTATGTGTGTGTACAGTGTATATTTATTATGTATATATAAACACACACACATGTATCTATTTAAAAAAAAAACATTCGTATGTATTAGGGCTGTCAGTCGATTAAAATGTTTAATCGAATTAATTACACAATGTTTTGATTAATTAATCGCAAAATAAATTTGACTGAAAATACCCACAAAAGATTAAAGCTATTTTTGTGCTAAATGAAAAAGTATCAAGTAGACATTACAAATTGTAGCTTTAGAAAGAAAATATTTTATTTGATTCAACATAAAATTAATTACACAAACATTTAGGCTATAACGTAACGAACATAGAAGATAATTTGAGAAACATCTTAGTACTTTTTGTTCATAAAATAAAAGTCATTTGTAACTAAAACAGCTTTGTTACCAACAGTCTTCAAAATACCTTCTATGTTCCACAAAAGAAAGTTTTGAAACGACATGAGGGTGAGTAAATGATGACAGAATTTTAATTTTTTGGGGTGAACTATCCCTTTAATGTTTTTATTTTAATTTTTTTATTTATTTTTACGAAATTATACTCTAAATAAGAAACTAAATCTGCCAGCAGGTGGCGATAAATGCCTTTATGATTAGTTCAAACAGCTGATTCATTCATTCCGGAAAGAAGTAAACGGCTTCGCACGATTCGTTCAAAACGCGTTTTCATTCTGAAACTAAACACTGCTGTGTTGCTTGGAGACGCGCAACAATTCTGCTGTTGCTTTAAAGGTTCTCTGCAAAATTGAGCAAAAACACATAATATTGTGTTTAAAATATAACACAATATCAACTTATTTACTGAACTGTTGTATAAAAAAATCACATTTAAACTCGTGATATTCGGGACAAACAGCACTCGTGTGATATTGCTCTTGCTGATGGTGTGATATCGCGTATGGTATGATATAAATATGAGACAGAAACTCATACAGGGACATTTCTTTGCACCAATATCTTGAATTTTAGGGCATAACTGCATTTATGGAGTTGTTGCCCTGCATCATATTTGTCAAAAGTCAACTGTATGAAATGTAAAATGACATACAGGTCTGGGGGTGAGGATTTTAATCGGGTTATTTTTGCATAACTAATTAAGTTAACGCATTAAACTGACAGACCTAGTATGTATATATATATTTATACTTGTAAAACATTTATATTATATATAAATATAAATATTTTATATATAAATCTAACATATTTTTCCCAAATATATACATGTATGTGTGTGTAGTTATATATACATAATAAATATACACAGTACACACATATAGTATGTGAACAAACTTTTTTTCGAATGCGATTAATCACGATTAATCGTTTTGTAGCCCTAAAGGAAACTATGACACAAAACAGCTTAACTGAATGATTTAAGTGTTCAAATTCATCATGATTGTTGTGAGAATGGAATAAACTAAAACAAATGTGTCAGCTATATCAAAACTCTTACCCAGGTCTCATTTCCTCAATATCAGGCACAAGGTTGAGGAACTCGTGTTTGCCGGCGCGGGCCAGGTAGGACGTTTCCAGAATGGGCACCATGGGGAAGTTCTCATAGTCTGAGCATGAGGGGCTGGTGGCACTTGAGTTAGCTTCAGGGGTCCTGGACAAGACAGGTGTTTTAGGATCCTTAACTTTTAGAAGACGGTATTTTGAGCTTATTGTTTGTGAACCGTACATACCGAGAGTCTGACAGAGAGGGGCAGGTGGAGGAGGGTGTGAGAGTAGCACTGCTGAAACTGGTGACGGATGGATCACGGCCCATAGGAGAGATATCCGACAACTGAAAGAGACAGAATTTAAATTTTTTTTAATTAATTAATTCAAGCAGATATGTTACAATTCACACAAAACTGGTTGTTTTTCATTGTTCAAATTGAGGTTACCTTGCAGTCACTGATGCTGTTATACATCTGGTTGTATTCACTGTTGAAAGTGTGTGTCAGGAGACGGAGGCACTGCAAAGAATTAAAAGACAAACACACAAAATTTATGTCACACAAAATAAACCAGACATATCTCATATTTGACTTTAAATGGAACACAGTGTTTAACAATTAAAAAAAGGGGTGGCTTACCTTAGTGGCCAGCTCCTTCTCGCGGTCTACCAAGCTCTCGATGTCTGTGGAGTCGTATCCGCTGCTCTCACTGGGCGTGATGGCGCTCTCAAAGGTGGTGGAGGAGATCTGGGAGGAGATGCTGGTGGAGGTGCTGAGGGTGCCGCTGCTCAGACTGGGAGACAGGGAGTCACTCAGGGATTTAGGAGGAGCCGTCTCACCCAGTTTCTCACGGAGCAGCAGCAGGTGACGTGTCTTCTCCACCTGACATGGACAGAAATGGGCATCAGTGTCTGGAGATCACCACTGCCTGTCAGATACTCTTATGCAGATGAACACAAGCAGCAGGAAGTGTGGCAGTGCTCAGTCGTGATCTTTTGTCTTCTGTGCTCACCTCATGCAACTGCTCGAGTTTCTCCAGCTCCCACTGGTGCTCCAGGATCAGACTGTCTCCTCTGGGTCTCCAACCGGCCAGGTTCTCCTCTCCACGCACATACGCCACAGATGTATCCAGAACCTTCCGCCTCCGTCGCTGCATACCTGAAAATGAACAATTAAATGATTCAATATAGCAGGTCCAATATATCAATATGCAAAATCCCTAACATTACACAGAGTAAACTAGAAAAATCATCAATTTTATAAATTAAAAAAATCTGCGCCTTTGAAATGTCTTTTTTTTTCTCCTAATGTTTGTATACGTTTATAAATTATTTGTAAAATATTTTATAAATATTCTATATAAATAATTTACAATACCTTTCAGAAGTTTGTGGTTGATCATTTTTTTAAATGTTTTCAAAAGAAGTCTCTTATGCTCACCATGGCTGAATTTATTTGATCAAAATAAAGCAAACTTTAATATTATTACAATTTCACATCAGTTTTTTTTTTTTTGTTTTTTTTTACAATTTAAAATATAATTCATGATGGCAAAGCTGAATTTTCAGCATTATTACTCCAGTCTTTAGCATCACATGATCCTTCAGAAATCATTCTAATATGCCGATTTGTTGCTCAATATACATTTTTTATTATCATCAATGTTGAAAGCAGCAGCTTAATATTTTTGTGGAAACTGATACATTTTTTTTAAACCAAGTCTTTGATAAATGTAAAGTTCAAAAGAACAGCATTTATTTGAAACAAAAATATTTTGTGACATTATAAATATCTTTACTGTCACTTTTGATCAATTTAATGCATCCTTGCTAAATAAAAACATATTTAATATATATATATTTTTTTTTTTTCTTCAAATTGAACAAGCGGATAGTATTTTCAGGAATATCTTACCTGGGCTTCCTGTGTCAGCTATTTTGCATAAGCTTAGCTCATAGATTCCAGTCACTTTATTACTGTAATGGAAACATCAGAGAACAGTGTTAGCAAAGTTTCTTTACTTTACACATTTCTGGAGAGGACTCACATTTCTAGAGAGTTGATGCGTAAGATGTCCAATATCACAATTTCAGCTTAAAATTTATATGTATAAGAAAGTGTCCTGCAACTAGTCGCCATTTCATTTTCACCATTTTTAATGTCGCCTTCACTAATTGATTTTAAATGGTCCTACAGTATAAGAAATTAATTTAACAGTATAAATATTCCATGTAGTCTTTGAAAAGACTTGCTAAAATGCTATTTAAAATAGTTTTTGATGGAGTACAGCATGCCAAAATGCAGGATATGTCCTAAAAGTATTTTATATATATTAACCTTTAGACACATTTGAGTTTTTTTTTGTGGTAAAAGAGATGAAATAAAAAAAAACATTTTACCAGTCGGGGGTTTTGGAGTAGCCACTGCCGAACAGGTTCCTCAGGGAGCGTGGAGGAGAGATCTTAGCATCTCTGGAGTAGAAGACCATGCAGATGTCCTTGGTAATGATGGCAGGCTGGATGCAGTGATCAAGCTGCAGGGGAGTGGTTAGCACATATGTCAATACTATATACTGTTAAACCTCTTTCTAAAGAACCAGTCATTTAAAAGAGTCGAGGCTTACCTCAAGATAAGCTGACAGGGTCATGTAAATCTTCTCTCCGTAGGGAGTGACACGGTTCAGCAGGAGAGAGTTGTGCAGGGAGCTGTCCCAGACAGCCTCGAACCGGTAGAACGTCCTGAACAGGAAGAAGTACATTCGATTTTAGGCTTCAGAAACAATATCCATGGAATTATATTGTAGATATTTACTGGTGCTGAATTGATTAATTGCGTCGTACACTACGTGTTTGAGTGTGGATGTGCTTAAAGACAACATGAAATGATATTCACAACTTTACTTCTGTAATTAGACATTTCTGAGAGAAACAGAATATTCAATGAGAGGGCAGGATTTATCCATTGGGAATTGACTAGATCATTTAAAAGTTACACAACCGTTCAAAACGTTTGGGGTCTTTTTTGTTAATCAAACAGATACTTTTATTCAGCAAGGATGCATTAAAATATTCATGTGTGACAGTAAGGCTTTTGTTTAAAAAATATATTTTAAATAATTAGTGTTCTTTTGAACTTTCTATTCATCAAAGAATCTTTAAAAAATCTATGATGTTTCCTCAAAAATATTAAGCAGCACAACTGTTTTCAACATTAGTAATAATATGGAATGTTTCTTGAGCAGCAAATCAGCATATTAGAATGATTCCTGAAGGATCATGTGACACTGAAGACTGAAGAGTAATGATACTGAAAATTCAGCTTTGCATCACAGGAATAAATGGCATTTTAAAATATATTACAACAGAAAACAGTAATTTTAAATTATAATAATATTTCACAATATTACTGCTTTTATTGTATTTCTGATCAAATAAATGCAGAAAAAAATCTTGCAGACCCCAAAACTTTTAAACAGTAGCATACATGAGATTATTAAAATGAACAAATTTTATTTTTACTTCCTTTAACATTTAACACTCTTCATTTAACATTCACCAATGAATTATTCACAGTAATACCAAAAAAAAGGAACTAAGAAAGTAAATAGGTTCGATTTTGATTTCATGCTGACTTTAAACTGCACACGGCAGTGAATATCTGTAAGCATCAGGCTATCACAATAAACACTTTAGTTATGCTGCCTACAAACTTTCAACTAACAGATGGTGCTAATGGACAGGCAATCTCCTCTAACACTGTGAAAAACAGGAGGTGTAATACCAGCTGCATCACGTGGTGTTGGGAGATCTCTGTGCCTAAATAGTTTGTTGATGTGTTCGAGTCACATAACGATGAACACAACACAAGAGTGTTGACAGGTGCTACATTATTAGTGATCTGCTGTGAGCTTGAAGCAGTGAGTGTGACTCAGGACTACAGCACAGTGATGACTATAAGCAAAGGCACACGATTTATATGAACAGACATTGAGACAGAGAGAAACAGAGAGAGATTGGTGCAGGTGACTCATCCTCAAATATCCTTGTATCTTTTTCTCCACTCACTCATCTCCCTCTCTTGTTCTCATTTCACTGTTTAAATGGCAGATAAATGCATAAAGGCTTGCCTGCGTCTGTATCTAGACTCATCGATTCAGCTGCTAACAAGCCAAATTTAGTAATATAGTGAATGCAGAGCATAATTAAATTTAATGTCACACCTACAGTACATTCATTTTCTTTGATTAAAGAAATGTGGTGGCAAAAGCTCATCTACTTAATAGTTGTAAAGTGAGGTGATACATTTAATCAAACAGATACTTTTATTCAGCAAGGATGCATTAAAATATTCATGTGTGACAGTAAGGCTTTTGTTTAAAAAATATATTTTAAATAATTAGTGTTCTTTTGAACTTTCTATTCATCAAAGAATCTTTAAAAAATCTATGATGTTTCCTCAAAAATATTAAGCAGCACAACTGTTTTCAACATTAGTAATAATATGGAATGTTTCTTGAGCAGCAAATCAGCATATTAGAATGATTCCTGAAGGATCATGTGACACTGAAGACTGAAGAGTAATGATACTGAAAATTCAGCTTTGCATCACAGGAATAAATGGCATTTTAAAATATATTACAACAGAAAACAGTAATTTTAAATTATAATAATATTTCACAATATTACTGCTTTTATTGTATTTCTGATCAAATAAATGCAGAAAAAAATCTTGCAGACCCCAAAACTTTTAAACAGTAGCATACATGAGATTATTAAAATGAACAAATTTTATTTTTACTTCCTTTAACATTTAACACTCTTCATTTAACATTCACCAATGAATTATTCACAGTAATACCAAAAAAAAGGAACTAAGAAAGTAAATAGGTTCGATTTTGATTTCATGCTGACTTTAAACTGCACACGGCAGTGAATATCTGTAAGCATCAGGCTATCACAATAAACACTTTAGTTATGCTGCCTACAAACTTTCAACTAACAGATGGTGCTAATGGACAGGCAATCTCCTCTAACACTGTGAAAAACAGGAGGTGTAATACCAGCTGCATCACGTGGTGTTGGGAGATCTCTGTGCCTAAATAGTTTGTTGATGTGTTCGAGTCACATAACGATGAACACAACACAAGAGTGTTGACAGGTGCTACATTATTAGTGATCTGCTGTGAGCTTGAAGCAGTGAGTGTGACTCAGGACTACAGCACAGTGATGACTATAAGCAAAGGCACACGATTTATATGAACAGACATTGAGACAGAGAGAAACAGAGAGAGATTGGTGCAGGTGACTCATCCTCAAATATCCTTGTATCTTTTTCTCCACTCACTCATCTCCCTCTCTTGTTCTCATTTCACTGTTTAAATGGCAGATAAATGCATAAAGGCTTGCCTGCGTCTGTATCTAGACTCATCGATTCAGCTGCTAACAAGCCAAATTTAGTAATATAGTGAATGCAGAGCATAATTAAATTTAATGTCACACCTACAGTACATTCATTTTCTTTGATTAAAGAAATGTGGTGGCAAAAGCTCATCTACTTAATAGTTGTAAAGTGAGGTGATACATGCAAAAGAAAGGCTTTAAAAAAAAAAAAAACTTTTTCCTACCAACTTTTACAAATGATTTTTTTTTTTACCAAACTTAAAAAAAAAAAAAAAATTAAAAAAAAATTAAAAAAAACACACTACAGTAATTTTACATTATCATTATCAAAGGTCATTTTCTTAGTGACATAGAAAACATGACAGATTTCATATAATATATTAATTTTCTTATAATTTTATTATATATTATTTAATGGGCTATTTTATTTTAAAAAGGGCAAAATCTATATTAATTTTCATGCATATAAAAGCAAATATTATATTAAATAACCATATGACATACTATAGGTTCTCAACAAGGTTGACAACAAAATTTAAAAAGTTACAACATTTTTTTGTGGGGTATAAATCACTTAATATTTAACTTTGTTAAATGTAATAATATCATGCCAATTTTCATATTTCAAAAGTTTAAAATTTTCAGGGCCAATAGAATAAAATCTTGCTTTTGCATTTAAATTTAGCAAATGTCATTTTGATTATTAGAAAAAAATCTCTTTTGCAAATTCACCTTAATTCATACTATCATATAGAATGAGTTCAGAGAGAAGCAGAAAAACAATGACACAGATACATCATTTTGCTACCGTTACACCTACAGATCACAAATGTCTCATAAAGCACTTTAATGGTAAAAATGCTTTATGAGGTGGTTCTGATACCTAGCTATATCGCTATCAATACAAAGGCTGAGCAAAACCAAGAGTCCAACCGCAGCAGGAAAAGGATGAGAACAAAAAGAGAGACAAAACAAGCAGAAACAGTCAGGCAACAGAAATAATCACAAATTAAAAGACAAAAAGCAGCATTCCGATTAAACGGGCAAAGGAAATAAATGGAAAACACATTTGGTTAAATGGAAAGGCACATTTTCATAATAAATAGAGCTGTATGGGGCACTGTGCATATTGGTTAAATTGCTGTTTCTTGGTTGGTCCACTAGCTGGCTCTTGCTCCCTGCAGGATTTTTCCCTCTCACTGACGCCAACAGTGACTCATATTCAACATGCTCTCCTGAATTCTAAGCAGTTAGGGAAATGCATTTGCATTAGGTGAGCAGAGTATTTGCAGGCCTTTTATGCTGTTTAGAAACAGTCAACTTTCCACTGACTGCAGACACACGAATTGAACTTAATACTTGATTTAATAGGATGTCATATGTGGAGAGCAAACACAACATGGTTATTTATCTGAACTAGTGACCGTTAACATATCTGTTAGATGTTTAAGGTCATCAAATCAGAAACTATTAAAGGTTTCCAGATCAAGATTAAAAAGAAAGGGAGACTGGGCTTTTGCCATAGTTGGCCCAAATTGTGGAATAGCCTACCTTTTATCTATTAAGATTATCCCTACTGAATCTCTCTTTAAGATAAAACCTAAAATCCACCCTTTAGAAAAGGTTTAGAATATTGGAGTCATCCTGAGCTTGTTTTTCCTCTGTATGTACCATGTCATCGTATGCAGTTTTATTGTTTTGATTGGTGTTTTATTATATTGATTCTACAATTTTTGTACAACACAATGGTCAACAACTGTTGTTTTATTGTGCTATGTAAACAAACTAAACTAAACTAAACATACCTGCTGGAGTTGTGAGAAGATTTCAGGTTTTTAGCTGAGATGATGTTGAGAGACAGGACTGCGTCTGCAGCCGAATCATCCACTTCTGGCTTATTCCTAATTCGACCTACAACAGACACAACGATCGATGTGAGATGGCTGTAGCCTTTATTATACTCTTTATAAAATGGTTATTTCAGGTCCTGGCTTCTGATTGGTCAACAGAACAATCCAGCTTTGCTAACAGCAATTATTTCTTCCATTTAAGATTTTAGGACAAAATTTATACTCACCAACCACCAGCTCTCTGACGTCCTTCCAGTGCAGCTCACAGCCCTTCTCATGGATCAGAGTGACTGTTATTCTACGCTGAATGCCCTGAAAACAAACAACACAGGTTACTAAAAGCAATCTCAATTTGAATCATTTATATGTCCTTGGCTAAGGACAGTGAACATGATCCTTAAGCTAAACTACAGATTTACAGACAGCAACTGCAGAGACAGAACAACATGATGCACAAGACTAAAGTGCATTGCAATGCGCAGATCTATGGAAATGTAATGCATTGATAACAATTTAATATTCAATTATAATTCAATATATTATGCACCGTTTTTTTAAACATTTTTCTAGTCTATTGCTTTTGCATGTTTCCAGTACATTATATTTGTATGTACAGCATATTTTTGAATATATACACTACCAGTCAAATGCTTTTGAACAGTAAGATTTTTAATGTTTTTTAAAGAATCCTCTTCTGCTCACCAAGCCTGCATTTATTTGATCCAATATTTTTACTATTTAAAATGCTTTAAATTGACCAAAAGTGATAAAGACATTTGTAATGTTACAAAAGATTTCTATTTCAGAGAAATAACAATTATATTCATCAAAGAAACCTGAAAAAATTATACTCAGCTGTTTTCAAAATAATAATAATAATAATAATAATAAATAATAATAATAAATGTTTTTTGAGCAGTAAATCAGAATATTAGAATGATTTCTGAAGGATCGTGCGACAGGAGTAATGATGCTAAAAATTAAGTTTTGAAATCACAGGAATAAACAACATTTTCAAATATATTCAAATAGAAAACAGTTATTTTAAATAGTAAACATATTTCAAAATGTTACTGTTTTTGCTGTGGATCAAATAAATGCAGGCTTGGTGAGCAGAAGAGAATTCTTTAAAAAACATTAAAAATCTTATAGTGATCTTATATATTAATCTGATAGTGTATAAATATAATTAGGTAATGATAATAATGTCAAAAAAAGAATTGAAACCATTAATTTTAAGAGAAAATATTTATACTCCCATTAGTTAAAGCATAAATAGAAAGAATAAATACCTGGTGCAAAAGGTACGTGCCATGACAGGGAAGACCTCCTGTGTGATCTACTACTGCTGGGATATAACTGCAATACACAACACACAATTTATATAACCGCAAACAGACTTTATAGCAACATATTTATACAAAATACTCAGGCGTGCATGTAGATATAAATACTTATATTTCACTTACTCTCCAGTGGGCTCCAGTTCACTGATCTCGAACCAGGCCAGCAGGTCATACTTGCTCACACACTGACCCAGGTTAGACTTGGTAATGGTGTTCAGTTTGGTGGCTGGCACTGCAAGGAAAGTAGAACATTAATAGGGCTGGAATATTGTGTACCATATGGCTGATGTGTTTAAAATAAGCCTAATTTATTTACTAAAAAGGCCAGGTTCTACAAATATCCATAAAAAACGCCAAATGTGACAGATTCAACAACATGAGCATGAGTCACATAATGTGAGAAAGGAGGGTCATAATGTAGGCTTTGGAAAATCAGCCACTAGAAATTCTACACTACATCGGGAAAATCAATACAGCCTGATTTGCTCCTAAAACTGCAGCTAAAGGGCGGCACTCCATTTCCTGCAGCCGTCTGCTGTATTTCTACAGTATGATTAGGTGGGAGACAATGGCGCTGGGGGAAAGCTGCAGGAAACCTTATGCTCAGAGACGGAAGAAAAACACTTGTGTGACTCGAGTCATTTGTGTAAAAAAAAAAAAATGCTTCTTGAAGGAAGCTAGAAAACACCTAACATGATTTAATTAGCAGTACGCTTTCAAAGTAACACAAAAGGAAACACCAAGCAGCTGTCGTTGCAGTCTAGCTCAACCAGGGAGGGAAAATAAGGGAGAGTGACACTTAAAAATACAGCAGCTCAAGGAAAAGCCTTTTTAGCTTATCTTCAGGATCAGGAATATCTACATTTAAAAGAATGTCCACTGGGATTCTGTCATCGGGTGGGGATGAAGGGCGACACTAGAGTCACAGTACATTAAAGCACAGCACAGAGCCAATCGCTATCGATCTACACTAGTCTGGGCCTTTGAAGCTCTGTACCAACCGTTGTGTTTGCGCACTCTGAGAACGGGGCTGTTGGGTACCGGGAGGAAAGGGAAGTGGGACAGCTCATCTGCCCCTTCCTCCAGGCTGGCGACGGCTGCGGAGGCCAGTGCGTTGGCGTGCTCCGAGAGTGTGTCCAACACCTGGCCGTGCACATACCCGCTCATCAGGTACCTGATCAACTCTATCTTACGTGCATGATCTGGGCGGATGACACCAGGTGAAAGTGGTGAGGATGAGGATTGAAATGAAAGAGACAAAGATGGAGATGTGAGAAATGGAAAAGATGAAGTATGCAGTTGCCCCAAAAACTATTTGGATGCTTAAAAAAAATTTGTGAATTTTAACAAAAATGTCTTTGCATTCTAACAAAATGTTAAATATCAAAGTGACATTTATTTTGAAGATAAAATATAAAAGTATGGACTACCATTCAATGATTTAGGGTTAGTAAGTTTTCTTTTTCTGATAAAAAATTGACAGTAAATACTTACAGTACATTGTTACTATATATATATATATATATATATATATTACACATACACACATACACATTTGAAATAAAGGCTGTTTTTGAATTTTCTTTTTGTCAGAGAATCCTGAGCAACAAAACAGCATATGAGAATGATATCTGAAGGATCATGTGACACTGAAGACTGGAGTAATGCCTGCTGAAAATTCAGATTTGCTGTCACAGGAATAAATTACATTTTGAAATGTAATAAAAAGAAAATAGTTGATTAAATCGTAATAATATTTCACAATATTACTGTATTTTTGATCAATGGAGTCTTGGCGAGTCTACTTAACAGACTTAAAAATAAATAAATAAATCATACCAACCCCAAACTTTTAAACAGTAATGTATTATATATAATAAACAAATTAAATATATATATTTACTATTAAAACAAATTATATATAAATATACACAAAACATATAGAAACTGTAAATATAATGTTAGTAAAAATTGACACTTTCTGGCTGTCAAATGCCATTTAGACTATTTTGTTATCTTAAGCTATAAAATTCCTACCTTTTTAGGAGATTATTATTATTATTTCAATTCCTGAGTGGCACATGGAGACTCAAACCACTTTTAACAGCTCTTTGAATGAAATTTTATATGACAGGTGTTAAAAGAGGGGGGGTTTTACACTTTGCATCTACAATCTATAAATCACAAAGAGCTTTACAGCTTTTCCAATTATCTCCAACTGAGCTGTAGCACCTCTAGATTCATATCGCGATATAAAAGAATGACAGCTCGGGGTGAAGATCAATACACCGTCAGGATTGATGACACTTCAAGGCTACAGCCTCTGTTTTATTTTTGGTCACAAAGGGAGATTTGTTCCCTATCAAAAAAAACAAGAGTCTGGACAGGAACGGCTGACAGCTGCGTCTTTCAAACTGACTTGCTGCATAAATGAGATCCGGAGCCCTTTTGAGAGGAGATAACCATATTGAACGAAAGAGTTACAGATTACAGCATTGTGAACTGTGAGGTAGTTCCTTGTTTAATGAATCATGTAATGAATTACACTAATAATATGAAGGGAGATAGAGGAGCATACAAGCTCCGGGCGAGTATTATTCAAGGAATCTGCTTTATTATTACTTATGCAAATTTAAGACCCTTCAAGCTGACTTAATGAACATGTGATGTTCTTTATGAAGACAAATTGAGATGTAATTTTGGAGTTATATAGTAGCTGCCATCATACCTGGTTTAGACAAAGGCATAGGTGGGGGGTAGTACTTTCTAGAAGGCTGAGAAGGGCTATAAGAGAAGCAAAATATTAATTAGACAAGTAAAAAAATATTATAATAATATTAATCAATCTGTATGCTGATTTAATCAATCCACCAAGGGCATAACCACATAGTCAGGATTAAGGGAACATTTATTTCCTGCTATATTCATGCGATATTTTTTAACAACTAAGATATGCTGTAAAACAACTATACAATATATATGTCTCAGTTACTTATTTTATTAATATATTCACTGTAATAATTTAATGTAATATTCTGGGTTTAATACAAATCAAGCTCCATCAACATGTTGTCAATAACAAAGGGAAATAATATTGACTTTGTTAAAATAAAAAATAAGAAAATGTGTTGACAGAACTTACATCGGACATTTTACATTTTAAAAGCTTTACTGTCATTCCTTTATTTTATTTTTTTAATGCCATATCAACATCAAAGGCTATTTTCATGTCAAAACTGAATAATTAAAAGTACAATGTAGTGTTATTGTTAACTAAAACAAAATCTATCAATCAATTTTGGTAACTGAAATAAAGCTGAATTATATATAAATATCAGATAAAAATTACATTTGAAAGAATGAGAAATACTGCAACTAACTGAAATAAGTTACTTTAAGTTGAAGTACTAAAATCACTAAGACTGAAACAAAAATAAACATTACAGCACTGTAAAAACTATAAAAGATGTTTAAATTTCATATTTGACAATTGTAAAATTTGATATAATCAGTCACTTAAAAATACCATTGACCCTTAATGTCACCTTAAATTCATCCTTAAAGTCACCCTTAATGTGGTTATGGCCCTGAAATGCACTTAAAATACTGAATGCTTTCATGCTAAATATATGATTATGTTAATCAAATTTGTGATACTGGATGACAGGTTGTTACCTGACCACTTCCTGTCCATGAATGTGCAGTGGGTGCTGTTGGTAATGGCCAAACACTTCAAACACAATTGGCTTGGTCTTTATGTACTCAATAAAAGACTCTGTCACCTCCACTGAGATCTGGATGTGAAAACCAGATAAATAAGTTGACAACACATGCATATTTGCCTAACAATGTATAATAATGAGGAATAATTCTGTATACGCAGCTAGCCTGATGAAATACTTTAATGAGAACAACTCTGGATCGGTTATGCCTAGGGTGAACATACGGGACATTTTTATGGGACGCACCCTTGCCAGGATTTCTATATTGCCTAAAATATCCAGATTTTGGCTGTTAGCACTGTGCAAATCGATCGCAGTATGACATTATTTCACGAGAGCCATAGAGAGCAGAGCAGACAGCTCCTTATGCTTTTAAATCGCTCTCGCGGTACTTTGGTGTCATACAACGATATTGCGCGCAGCTTCAGGTCGAACGAATGAACAAACATGTGCACGTACTTGCATCACTTTGATCGTTCTCACCTTCTCACGCGCAGCGCGCCACGATTGGTCAATTATGTACAATACCTGCATGTTATTGGTCAAACTACTTTAGATGTTTCAGGCAATATAAAAATCACGGCCAGGACGTGTCCCGTATAAATGGCACATATGGCCACCCTAGTTATGCCACCATAATGTTCAATTTCCTCCTCAAAACCTTGTTTCTCTCGCCGCTTTCAACACTTACATTCTGTACGTGGTAAAAGCCCAGCGGGGCACCTTTGCCTGTGTTCTTCAGGGGCTCTGTGCTGAACGCCTCATCGTGACGATGGAGGAAACTGTTGGCAGCATGAGACAGGATTACTGAGAGAAGCGTGACTGTGCGATTGCGTGATTTATGTGGAGGTGTGTGTGTGCTCTGTCTGAATAAAGACCAATGAGACAGGAAAGAAGGGTTGCCATAGAGACAGGCTGACTCACTTGAATTGGCAGAAGATATCTGCGTACTCGGGCGGGACGCCGCTCGCCTGCAGAACAGTGATGCGGAAAGTGAAAATACTGCCCACTTCCAGATGCTCTGCCAAGCCGTCACCCAGTTTTGTGTCCACGTTCCCAAGCTTCAAGTCTTTTAGACACAAAACACATGTGCAAATATGCATAATATTAGTTTATGTAAAAGGATCTATAAACGGTTAATGTGAAATTGTTGATTTTGGTTGATTTTCTTGGGCATTTCTTGTATGTATTCCTAGAAATCTATTTTATATAGAACGTTTTTATATATAGACCAATTTTATATAGAAAGCAGTTACATTATTTTTTATATATTAAGCTATTTATCACCACTATTAGAGTGTGCTTCTGGCAAACTGGACCAGCTTGATAGTTATTTGATATTATCTGACATTTTTAATAAACAGTGTCTATAAATCTGTCTCCATGGACTTCTTTTATTGACCTGTTAAAACCTTCTAGAAGAATCAGTTTGGTGCCAAAGCTTTTGGGTCACTGAGGCTTTGTAAATCAAGCGCAACATAGCAAAACACAACAGCATGGTCTGGATGTGTAAGCATTTCTTTTCACTCGGACTGAACGGCTTTGTTCAGAACTCAAGGGGCTGCCAGCTGGACTATGCATCTACACTCACCCATGTCATTTATTCTGTTCATCTCTTCTGAAGGGGTGATGACCTCCGAACTCTGACCTTGACCTTCCACAATACGCAGCTCTTCCAAAGAGATGCCAGAGCGGGTCATGACCACGGAGGAGAAATCACTCTGGATGGTGAAAGAGTAAAAGAAAGAGGGAGAAAAAAGAAAGGAAATAAAGCGATCACTAAAATGACCACCAACAACTCACACCTTGTAGAAATTTGTACAAATGTCAAACTTGAGGCAACATTGTGTTGGGGACTAACTAGTTACATGTAACAGAATTACGTAATTTAATTGCAAAATAAATGTAACCGTAATCTGTTACAGTTACTGAGAAAAAATGTGTAATGAAATTAGTTACTTATGAAAATGTTAAGGATTACAAAGAGGGTTACATCTGAATATTTTCACACACATACAGATTTGATTGAGTTATTTCCAAAATTGCATTGACTGCTTTAAAATATGAGACACTGATGTTTCAGGAATTTAGGACACAGAATAAGACACATGTTTAGTTGATAAATATTTGATTTCATATTTGGGCTTGTGTATATGCTTTATTTTTTAAATTTACTGCTTTTTTCCACAAGGCATTGTTAGATGCCTATGTTTCCTGTTATAGCTATGCAATGACTCAATTTCAAAAACAGTATCATAGCTTTTAAACTATATTATGTTATGATTTTAAATCTATATTTAACCTCAGAATGATCTCAAAGTAAAAAGAGGTGCTAAAGTCTGATTTTGTGGTGGCTGTGCTTTAAAATTAAATTATTATAATCTTAATTCAAGTGATGAAGGATT